GGATAAGGGCATGAGAGAGGAGGCTCGATGATCTGCTGTGACTCATTTTCAGTTGGATCATATAGTCTGTTGGACTCCCTTCCCGGAGTCATTGCGACCTCCTTTTCGGCAGCAGGTTTGATAAACATGTGCAGTTCTTTGGCATAGATGGACAGTAAACTAGAAGCCAGTAGCCGTTCCGCAAAACGCAGACAGTGCCGCTCCCTATATCAAGCTAATTGGTTAGTTTATTGACTGACAATCTCTGCCCCTTCAGGTTGTCTTGATCCGGGAAAATAACTAACCACCCCAAACCTATAATATGTTACACTCAGGTGGGTGCAAAACTCAGGGAACTATTGTTTGGCACTTCTACAACACGAAGTTTGAAGTGGTCAGCAAGTGGAAATTGTTTGCCATGGCTGGATATCTTGCCGAGGTCTTCACACAGGAGTCTTCCGTGGACGTTTATCTAATAGTAGAGGCATTGACACCCAGCAGAATAACCTCCATGGATATCGATCCCAGTGATGCATTCCGGACATTAAGTAATCTGGACGTGGAAAAATCAACGGGACCGAATGAGCCGCACCCAAGGCTGTGCAGAGAGCTTGCTTTCTGTGTAGCCGGCCCATTGACTACTATATTCGGACTGTCTCGCAGTGACGGCCCACACCTCTGTGACCGGGGAGATGTCATAGTAACACCTGTTCACAAGGCACGTTCTAGGCAGCTCCCATCAAATTGCGGACGGATGAACTTGACTAGTACTGTGGTAAAAATCCTAGAAACAGTAATCAAGAAAGCCGTCACAGTCCACCTAGAGAGTAACACTCTACTGTCCCATTAACAGCATGGTTTTTGCAGAAATTTTCTGCTGCTTGACGGACCTCCTTGCAATCAGAGAAAGTTGGGTTGGGTCTAAGGATGATAGGATACCCGTAGATGTCATTTTCATTGACTTTAGTGATACATTCGGCAAAGTTTACCATTCCGGGCGGCTCGGGGAAACCGTAAACCGCGGCTCGGAAGTTAAGGACTCTCTGGGCATTACGTAAAGCGCTTACGAAAATAAGTGGTAACATCTACACCATCTTGTACACAGCCTCGCCTGCTTGACTAGTTCACTAGTTACTAGCCGGTCCTAAGCCTGGGTAAAGGTTGGGCGTAGGGCCAGCAACCCTACACCGGGGAACAAATCCAACCGCTAAAGAACTTCAAAGCAAAAACAAAATATAAAAATGTAAACAAAATTGTTCCTCGCTGGAATCAGAGAGGCGAAATGACGCTGGTTGGTGAAAACCTTCGGGAAGCATGTCGGCTGATGCATCTTCCCTCGATGAAAGTGAAAGTAAACGTGTGGACATGGAATGTCCGTACCACGGCTGAACCCAGTAAGACAGCCCAGAATGCGAACGAGACAAGAAGGTATCGCACTGAAGTGCTAGGAATTTGCTAAAGCAGATGGAATGGGAGTGGACTGTCCAAACTGTCAACTGCGGAGTCGGTAATCTTCTTCGATATTGTCACCCAGATGACAACCATGAACACGGAACACTGGGTTGTGGAGTGGCTATTGTGGCGTCCCAGGCGGCTTCGCAGGCTCTCATGCGGTGGGAACCAATCTCCTCCAGGATCATAGCAGCAAGGTTCGACTCAAAAGGACGGAAGGTCACAATCATACATTGCTACGTTACAAACCTACAAATAATGCAGAGCAAGAGAAAAAGGAGGAATTCTACAGACAACTACAGTCAGCACTGGACAAGGCCTCAGCTGGTGACACCAACATTCTAATGGGCGACATAAATGCCATACTGGGAGCAGACAACACAGGAAGAGAACTGGCCATGGGCCGAGGAGCGCTAGGTGAAATGAACGGGAATGGAGAATTGCTTGCAGAATTCTGTGCACTCAACGATTTGGTGATTGGAGGCAGTGTGTTCAGGCACAAGGATATCCAAAAAGCGAGCGACACGAATTTTACCGGATGGACACACTAAAAATCAGATAGACTTTATCTCAATCTGAAGAAAGTGGAGACGCAGTCTACTTGACACAAGATCAAGAAGAGGAGCAGATGTGGGCTCAGGCCACTATCTAGTGCAAGGAACCTTCCAAATCCAGCTGGAAGCCTTCAGAGAAGTTGGTGATAGACCACAGTTCCAATACAACACTCGGAAACTGAAGGACGAAACTACAAGGAAAATTTTCACGGCAGCCATCAAGACAAAATGAGAGATGTCGAGGGACATCCCTGAAGAAACCTGTGTGGGAGAATACTGGAAGTCTTTGAAAGTTATGTGGAAAGGAACCTGCATAACTGTATTAGGAAGGAAGCTGATAGGGCAGTGAGAGTAGGACGGTGAAGCAGAAGATAAACCACTGCAAGGATGCACAAGGAGAAGAGGAAATGAGTACAATGTATAAAACACTATACTGGACAAAGAAGTGAAGAGTGCACGGAAAGACAAAAGACACTTCCACGAAACACTGGGTAGCGGAGCATAACAGGCTGCAGGTAGGAGAGACAGAGACCTGACAACATTGTTTCAAATAACCAGGTTACTGTCTGGGAAGAGATAAGCGCAGGCGGAACCAATAAAAGACGATGAAGGAAATTTAATTACCAAAGAAGAGCAACAAAGGGAACGATGGGCCGACCACTTCAAAAAGCTCTTGAATCGACCACCACCACCACCTGCACTTCGTCCAGAAGTACCACCAGCACCCTAGCCACAGAACTACAAGTGAACATAAATCCTTCAACAAAAATGAGAGCCCGGAACGCCATAAAGCTACTGAAATGTGGAAAAGCAGCAGGACCAGATGGGATCCCACCAGAAGCACTGAGAACAGACGCAGAGACAACAGCAGACATGCTCACACCACACCACTATTGCAGAAGGTGTGGAGGGGAGGGAAGGTGCCTGCCAGTTGATTGGAAGAAGGGTTACCTCGTCAAACTGCCGAAGAGGGGCGACCGAAGTCTTTGCAAGAACTGGCATGGACTTATGCTCCTGCCCACCCCAAGCAAGCAAAATATCAAGCCGCATCATCCTGGAGAGACTATAGGATGCACCGGATTCAAAACTAGAACCGGAGCAGGCTGGATTCAGGAAGCACAAATCATGTGTGGACCAAATTGCAACGCTTCGCATCATCATAGAACAGAGTATAGAATGGCAATCAACTATCTTCCCCAACTCAACTTCATCAACTTTGAAAAGACCTTCGACAGCGTCGACCGAGAACTAATTTAGCAGACAGCTGCTTCAACACTGAGGAATACCGCAAATCGTTATCAACCCCATTCAACAACTATATGAAGACGCCACATACCAAGTAATTCACAATGGAAAGCTCAGCTCAGTAATGCTTTTGAAGTGAAGACAGGAATGAAACAAGGTTGCCTACTATCACCCATGATGTTCCCGATTGCAGTGGACTGTATCACGCGGCAAAAGGTGAGAAGCTAGAAGAGGGGGATAGGCTGGACTGCGGAAAAGATCCTAGAAGATTTGGATTTCGCCGATGACTTGTGTCTAGTGTCACGCAAACTTGAAGATCCACAGGTGAAGGCCAACAAGTTGACAGAAGAGGCAGGTCAGCTAAGACGGGACTTCAAGTGAATGTAGAGAAGATAGGGGTGATGAAGTTGCCCAAACAACACCACCACCACCGCAGCCAACAACAGGTTTCAATCACCATCAACGGGAGAAACTTAAAGGAAGTGGCCTCTTTCACCTATACGAGCAGCACTGTTTCAGCTACAGGCGACACAGTCGAGGAGGTCAAAGCAGCCAGGATCGAAGAAGCAAGAAAGGCGTTCATTAGCCAGAAACCAGTGTGGAGATCTTCTGCACTCAGCATAAAGAAAAGGGTCCGAATTTTCAACACCGATGTCAAATCAGTGCTCCTGTACGGTTCAGAGACTTGGTGGATGACGAGAAGGATTTCCAACAAACTACAGACATTCATCAACAACTGCCTACGCTCGCTCAGTACTGAAGATCAGATGGCCAGAAAGAATAAGCAACAAGGAACTCACTCTGGAAACGAACCAACCAAGGAACTATAGCTCAACAAATATGCAGGAGGAAGTGGAGATGGATTGGGTATAAACTGAGAAGGCCGACTGGGGACATCACGTGCCAGACCCCAGAGTGGAAAGCAGATGGGAAGCGACGAGTTGGGCGTCCGAGGCAAGGGTGACACGGAGGAGGTCGTGTGAGGAAGAGATGAGAGCTTGTGGGCAGTCGTGGAGCCAGGTTTAAAAGATTTCAGAGGACAGAGCGCATTGGAGACGTGCTATTGAAACCCTATGTTCCACTAGGAACCTTAGGGAAAAATAACAGTAGTATAGTACACATCTTTTGTGAGGTCCGAGTTAGAAAACTGTACACAAGCGGCCAGTCCTTATCTGAAAGGTAACGCAGACCTTCTTGAAAGTGTTCAGAGGGCAGCCACTCGTATGATCCCCGCGATGGCTGATCTCACCTTTGAAGACTGACTTAGGAAGCCGAAGTTCTTCACTTTGTCCGATCGCAGACAGAGGGAGACCTAACCATGCCATACAGGATCCTAAGCAGTGACTTTGGCCCTGACCTATCCCCTCTTTTCCTGCCAACTAGGTCGGGACACCTCGAAGGACATAGCAAGAGGCTGCAGAAGCAGAGAACGAACGTAGTCTCCGCAGATTACTGGTTCTCGAGTCGAATAATCGACGCCTGGAACTGACTCCCAGAGGGAGTGGTGTCCACGTCAATTGAGTCATCCAAAAGGGGATTGAACAGGTACAGAAATCTGCTGGAAAAAGATTAGTATAGGCTTCCAGCCTCCAATCCTCAAACAACAAATCTGAGTCTAAATGTGTTACAGGAATAAGTAGTAGTTCCTTCTGTGAACCCGTTCGAAGTGAAACGGGATCTTCAAAGAACTAATTATTGTAGGGTTACCGGGGGTTAATAGCATGCTATTTGGATCATTAAAGATAACGAGAATATTATCATTCATTGTACCGCAGTTCTGTGGCGGGTTTTTATCATCGGTGTTACAAGGGTGTTTTGTTTCAATTACAAGGTGGCTATGTTTTAGCTATGAAGGTCGGTTTTCTTGACACCTCAAAAGGTAATTCTTTGTTCTACTTAACCTTGAAAGTTCTAGTTGGGTGCTTTATGGGGAAGTCATATTTCTTGAGCGGTAGTAACTTTCCTTGCATGCTACAGGCCCAGGCCAGTATTTACTTCAGGTGCACTTTGAAAGTTTTGAGCAAAAATTATTTGGTTATATCACGGGACACTTGGTATCTTTCTCGACACATCAGAATGTCTCCACAACGATCGAGGCTTTCTAAGTTCCTAAATATTAGAACTTTAGTCTCGCCAGTGCGCCTGAAAGAATCACTTTACCTCAATTTGAAAGGCCATGTGTAAAGTGCTCTCCGTAATTACATTCCTTTTTCGGGTCCGTCAAAGCTCTTTTGATGTACTTCTAACGGAGGATTTTAGTAACCTCGTAACTGCCCCTGATGTATGTTTAGGATAATGTCCAGTTTCCAGAGGGCATCCAAACGTGGTGCTGGTCAAAGCATTGTATATGCCACGTCTTATATAAAAACATAGACTTAGAATCTGCCAGTGCATATGTATGTACATATTTACGAAGGTTAAGACAGTTGTTCAAAACTAAGTAGTTTTTTTTTGCTGTGATCCTAAGCAGAAACTCAGATTATGAAGACACATTTAGAAATCAATAACGTATCAATCATTGCATCTAAAGTGTACTGCAGTCCATACTGTTTGTATCCACTCGCGTTTTAACAAAAAGTCCACTGGCAGGCGTTGCAAAATGGCCAAGGTAGGCTTTCTGTTTCTCAAAGAACTCGAGAATTGCCTAACGTAGATTAAGAAGTTTATATTCGTGATTGTTCGTACAGACATCTGTCATTAAACCACTTCCCCTTCGTCACTCTTGTGGTGGAAGCACTGTGTGAGCGTTGCATAGCTGTAGGTAAGATGATTGATTTGGTCTATATTAATGCAATCACAGACCTTGTCACACGTTCAACTACCGTCCTTTGCGATCTGTTGTTATCTAGAGTATAGTCAGGGTGGTAATGAGGTCAAGTAAACAGATCAATAAATGGCGCCAATTGTTACAGTCTTTGACTATTAGACATAGACAGAATCAACGTAGAACCTCGCACAGAAATACAGGCGTTCAAGTTGCCACACTCCACAGTAGTCTACAAAAGACGAATGGATAGGTGTGTTGCATAATGTGACGGTTATATTGGAGAGCCTAAAACAGCAGCACTACCACAGGTAGTGGTTATGCGTCATACTACTAAAGTGCAACCTAGTGGACATTTTTTCGTCTTTACCACTTACCTAGTTAGCATGTTTTCGAAGGTCCTAGTGACTATCACCATCTTACTTCTAGCAGAAGCTATGCTTTTATTCACTGGCGTGGATAGTGTTACTGCCCATTAGGACGACGTCAGTCTGTTTTAAAGATATAAGCCTTCATATAGTTGTACAGGTCCTTAACTTTCACATTGTTCTTAGAAAACATTATTTTCAAAACGAAAGATAAATTTTGTTCTATACTTCCTAATGATTTTCCTGCAGATTTGAAACAACGGGAAATGAATGATCACATACACTCAATCAAATTGAATACTTTAGATGTGCTGACCATAAGATAGCAATATCAAGTTTTCTATCCTACTAGTTTTTTCGCAGTTGACTTCGCATGAACATATATCAAATGTTCCTTTATCTAAAAGACTAGGGCTGTGACTCATTGATTTAGGCAGTTGACTTCTTGCCAGTGGGTCATGAGTTTGAACCCCTATTCATCTATCAAAGTTTGGGCAGCCACGTAGTATCATTAATCCTCATACATTACGCGTGGTTTATTGAGTTCATTTCGATTAGGTCGATTCGATATCATAAAAGAGTTGTACGATTAAATATCTCACCTTTGGGAGCTCTACCGCAAGTCAGTAGAACTTAGTAGTAAGAACACTACTACTGGACTAGGGTGTCATTCAGTATGATTATAAAACCTGGCATTACTGCTTAACAGTTCAGGTTGCTAGATGGTACATCAGCACACCACGGAAATTGGCAAAAACCAAGCAAGCCTCTTGCACCTGCGCAGAGATTTCTTAAGTCACTGACGCAGTGGAGTTAATCCGATGTCTTAGGTAAGAGGAGTGGTCAACGTGCTTAACATTTCACTCCCTATCGTTAAACAAAACACCATTGAGAACCACTTCTGGAGCAGCAGTTTGCATTTGAGTTCCAAGGAACGCGTGCTAAACATTCTCAAATTGCCACCTAAGGCGTCCGAGAGACTGAATCTTGTCACTGTCTTCATTTAACAGGGCTATGTCATCTGCGCACCCTGAATGCATTAGGAGTCTCTTGTGACTAAGTCAATCGCGGTAGTCAAATGATGAGAGGGAGAGTTGCATATGTGATGATTTTGAATAAGAATGGCGAGAGTGGGCATCCACGATTGATACCACTCGACATACTCGACCTACTTGGTCCCTGATCATCATTATCAACATAGGACCAGGCATTACTGCATAACGGTCCGAGTTGCCACACCTCGCGTCAGTTCATCAAGTAGAAAGGTGGTGAGGTGAAGGATGAAGATAAGAGAATGCAGTCAAAAGAAATATAAAGTACGAGAAGAAAGAAAAGAGGAGTGACAAAATGTCGGGATTCGGTATAGTGTCGTTAAGATGAAGGTGATGTGTATATACATCTGCGCCACTCACATCACTTCTCAGCCATATCACCTACAGTCTCCAACCACTGGTTCCTCTTCTCCCGCACACCCCAACCACCTAGTCTGCATCACCCTACATGGATCAAACCAACAGTCAGAGACTTCATACATTGGTGCCATGTTTTAGTCTGGCCACCTCGGGCCTTTTTCCAGCCTGAACCCACCTCAGCCAACATTGTGTGACGAGGCAATCGGTGACTAGGCATACGTAGTACGTGTCCCAACCATCTCAGTCGATGAAGGTTCACAACCTCGTCGACTGACTTACCTCTTCTCCCTAAAACTCTACACCTAACTTCTGCATTACTCACATGGTGACACCACGGAATACGTCCTATACTACTAAGGCAACGGTGGTCAAACACCTGAAGCCTTCTCATGTCTTCCACTTTCAATGGCCATGTTTCACAGCCATACAGTAGAACAGAGCGGACTGCTGTGCAGTACACGCGACCCTTAATAGACAAACGAATATCACGGCGGCGCCATAGGTGGCGCAAATTGGCAAAAGCCAATCGAGCCTTTTGTATCCGTGCAGAAATCTCATCGGCAACTAACCCACCGGGTTGATCCTACTTCCCAGGTAAGTGAAGTGGTCAACACACTCAACCACTTCACTCTCTATTGTTAACCGCGGTACCGCTGAAGACCAGTCCTGGAGCAAAAATTTGCATTTGGGTGGTGAAAATCGCATCCCAAACATTCTCAAATTCCCACTCAAAGTGTTCAGAAGACTCTGCATCTTGTCAGCGTCTTCACCTAACAGGACTATGTCATCTGCATATTCTAGATCTAAGGAAAATTCACCTGTGATCCGGTCAACGTCTGTGTAATTAGGTGACGAGAGGGAAACCTCCATAAGAATATCTATGATAAAATTAAATAAGAATGGGGATAGTGGGCATCCTTGACGGACACCACTTGATGAGTATAGCTCCCTGGACAACTCACCATAGGCTCTAACATGCCCACAAGTGTTCGAGTAGAGAGCTTTCAATAAGGTGATGTACTTACTAGGCACGCCTTTCAGTGACAGACACTGCCATAAGACTTCTCGATCAACGGAGTCAAATGCCGCCTTCAGGTCGAGAAATACAGCTATTGTCGGGCGTCTGTAAGCATGCCTATGTTCCAGGACCTGGCGCAGTGTGAATATTTGGTCGATACATCCACGGCCAGGTCTAAAGCCTGCCTGGTTTTCTCGGGCTTGCTGTTCCCGAGCTCCACTCAGGCGTCGGAGAATTATAGAACTTAGGATCTTAGACACTATGTTTGTCAGGCTGATTCCTCTGTGGTTATCACAAGAGGACTTCTCGCCTTTCTTGAAGACTGGGATCATGAATGACTTAGACCAGTCGGAGGGGATCGTATTTGATTCCCATATACTGGCTAACACTTCCGTTAGCCTGACTAAGAGAACTCTCACCATTCTTGTATACCTCAGCAGGTAGTCCGTCTGGTCCTGCTGCCCTTCCCGTTTCAGGCTACCTACCGCTTTCTCAACTTCTTCTAGTGTTGGGGGACCTGTCTCTATGTCCCATTCAGGGTCCGACTGGATAGCGGGCAGCGCAATGGTGGCTGGAGGCCAGTTAAACTGTTCCTCAAAGTGTTCTGCCCATCGTCCCAGTCGCCTTCCCTGCGAGTGAATCGCAGATCCGTCCTTCTCCGCTATAACCTCACTAACTGTTGTTGACCTTTTCCCCCAGTCTCCTTAATAAGTCTAAATAACTGTCTACTGTTACCGATCGCCGCTGCCTTTTCCATCTCTTTAGCCTTTGCTGCCCACCACTGTTCACGATCGTTGCGCAGACTTTTCGTCAGTTTATTTTTAAGTTGCGCTCGCTCTTCATTGTACTCAGAGCCTGCAGGGATGCATTCACGTGCATCCATTAGTTTGGAAGAAGCTGCTGATATCCACTGGCTCTTTTTAGCCATTATCTTGGAGTCGGCTACAGTCTCCAGTGCTGCTTTTACAGTAGACTGAAGATGGCACCAAGCTTCTTCTGGATGAGTGACAGTCTTTTGTTCCGATAACTGCCTAGCCAACTTCTCACTGAACACGGCTTTGGTGTTTTCGTTGTCCAGCAGAACTCGTAGTGGTTTTGTTGCCAAATTTTTTCTACGTCCATTGAGACGCAGGCATATACGTGCTCGGACCAACGCATGATCGCTGTCCAAACACGTACTCCAGAAGGAGCGGCAGTCTTCCACCGATCCTCTCCAGCGATGACTAATAGCAATGTGGTCTATCTGTGTCCATCGCTGAGTCGAGCTCGGTGGACGCCAGGTCAGACAGTGCCTTTCTTTATGTCTGAAATTTGTGCTGGCTAAAAATAGGCGGTTATCTGAGCATAGTTGTAATAGGCGATCACCGTTATCTGTACGTTCAGCTGGGATTCCGAAAGTGCCACCTAAGTGCCTTTCTGCCTCACTCAGTCTACCCACCTGTGCGTTGAGGTCACCTGCAACAACCACTACGTCCGAACGTTTGGCTTTCGAGAGGAGGTTAGACAGTTTATGGTAGAACTCGTCCTTCACTTCATCCGAACTACAGTCAGTGGGTGCGTAAGCAGAGATTACAAAGAGACAACGGCGAGTCTCACTATTCCTTTTAGTTCTCACTGTGCCGTTCAGCCTCATAGCGCAGAGGCGACTATCAACTGGGATCCAGTCTAGTAGTGAGTTTTCTGCCCTGGTGCTTAATGCTATACCTACACCTGCAAGACCACGAGAGCTAGCTATCGAATCTCCAGAAACTCGAAGGGTGAATTTTGCAGATTCACCAGATTGGTCAGGAGAGGTCAGGTGAATAACCACACTTGGGTCCTGTATGCGTGTCTCACAAACACAGCACACATCCATGCCCGAGTTGCTAGAGTCTTTGCCAACGAAGCCTGTTGGCCAATTTGACGGAGGGTGCGGACATTGAAGGCTCCAATATGTAATTTGGAGCGTGGTTTAAGGAGACCAGGGATGCTGTTCTGTGGACTCAGATCGTTGTCGAAGGCTGCAGAGGTAGGAGAAATTGAAGATGATGCAGCATCATTAATTAAGAGACGTGAAGGAAGATTAGAAGGTAATGATGGAGGAGGAGGATAGCAGTCAGAAGAAACTTGGGTGCTGACAGAGTTGTGAGGGCGGTTGACACTTCCCGGCTGCCCACACCCTGATGGTAAATTCGAACACACTGAGTACTCAAATATATAGCCTTCAACAGGGTGATATACTTATTAGACACCAGTTTCCGTGAGGAAACTGTCATCGGACCTCTCGATCGGCGAAGTCGAATGTCACGTCAAGGTCAAGAAATAAAACTAGTGTCGAGTACCAGTATGTTTGCCTGTTTCAGATCCTGATAAAGAGTGAAGATTCGATCGACACATCCAGTATCAGTTCTGACCCCTGTATGGCTTTTTCGTGTTTTCTTTTCTCGAGCTTCACTTGGGCGTGCAGTAATTACGGAACCTAGGATCTTAAACAGTTCGCCAGACTATTTACCCTATGGTTATCACATGAGGAATTTCTTTCTTAAAGACTTACATTCGGTGGTCTAAACCAATCAAAGAAATCATGTCTGACCCTCATACCTTAGTTAATTCTTCGGTTAACCTGGCGAATAATTTGCCACCCCATCACTAAATACTTCCAGTAGTAGTCTATCTGAGCCTGTTATCTTTCTTCTTTTTGGGTTACTTAAAGCCTACTCAACCTCTGCATGAGGTAGATGACCTGCCTCAGTATTCCATTCCGTATCCATCTAAGTGGGGCGTGATAGAATAGTATCTGAAGGCTAGTCCTCTCTCCAGTGATTGAACCGCAGATATATCCTTCTGCGCTATAATCTTACTAACAGTTGAATTTTCCCCTGATCAGCCTAAATAATTCTTGTCACCTATCACCGCTGCTTTTCAATAGCCTTCACTGCCCGCTATTGTTCATGGTCATTGCGCAGACTCTTTGTCAGTCTACATTTGAGTTGCTTCCACTCAGCACTGTGCTTCGAGCGTGCACGAATGCGTTCGTTTGGATTCTGTTGGTTCTGAAAAGGTCACTGAGATGCGACGATTCTTTCTAACCTTTTTCTCATGGTCAGTTATGGTTTTCAACACTAATTCCACAACAAACTGGAGATGACACCAGGCTTATTCAGAATGAATGACGTTGTCTTATTCCATTATCAGTCTAGCCAGTTCTTCTTTAAAAGTAACCTTGGTATGCTCAATCGAGGTGCGCTCGGCTATCTTTGTGTCCACTAAGGCACAGCCATATATATTCTTGAATCAAGGCATACTAATTCTCAGAACCTGTACTACAAAATTATTGGGACCTCCCACCAACCATTTTCAGCGACAATTTATAGAAATAGGGTTTCTCTGTACCCATTGTTGAGACGAGGTCGATAAATGTCACGTCAGACGATGTCTCCTTGTTTGAAGTTTTCTGTGGTTGTTTGAGCAAAGTTGTAACAGGTGACCGCTGTTATCCGTTCGTTCGGCTGAAATCCCAGAGATGTTACCTAAATGCATTTCCATCTGGCTTAACCTACCCATCTGTAGATTAAAATCATCTGTTACGACTGTGTTGTGTCAGGAAAGGTCAGGTTATGGATTTTTATTTTTTTTCAAATGCTGAATACTTATACGAAGTCATATGCACTAGGCATTTGACGAAACGAAGGTAAACTGACATTAGTATAATGAGGGATACATCAAACCTGTTCATTGCCTCACAACAAATTTTAGGGAAAACTATGTGAATTACAATTTGTCTCGCTCATAAGAAATACATATGTATTTTGATGTTTGTTCATTTATTTTCCCTACATATCACGTCTTTATGTTTACTAATAAGTGGCAACAGTCAAATCTATAGTTTGGGATAAATCAGATTTAAACTTTTAATCTCTTCGTAGATACTAACTTCTTGGCTCGAAATAACAAAAGATTTGGTGCAAGTACTTGTCGGGCAAGACGCAGACGACGAAATCGGAGCTCACATACGTCTCGGTTGTCACCATGCATTGAGGAGTCATCTAAAGTTGACTGTATGGTAACGAATTCTCTGAATGGATCCCCCGAACGGTTACCATCGAATTCTGGGTCAGTTGAAAGCAGTAGTTTATGTAGTTTAGGGTCTTGCTATGGGGTATCTTCGACTGGGTTCATCCACACTTCAATGCCCCCTGGTCCACCGACATCACCTGTCCCGAGTCCACCTCCAGTAGCACTTGGTGCTATTGCGGAAGTCCCAGCGAATTCTGTAACAGAATCTCTTATCGATTCTCGACGATCTAAGGATGTTCCGAATCTCCCTGCTGTACTTCGCAACCGTTTCAGACGACGCCGGAATGCCATATGTGATTCTTCCGCTCTCGGCCAGGGACTAAAGGACTTTTTCGCGTCTTATGTTGTCTCCAGCTTAACAGACTCCATGACATCATCGCTCAGTTTAGAATCATCTTCTGCACGCCCAATGTTTGGATCCTCACTCCAGCCTCACGTTCCCAGCACAGTTCCACACCTAATGCACATTGATTGTGTCTCATCTCCCTTATGTTTGATTGATAGTGAGTCTCAATCTGAAAGTCTGTGATAAGTATTTCCTTTAATGATCATTTTTTGATTATTGTGTAACAGTAATTAGTTTACTTTTTGTAGTTTCATTATCTAATATTTGCAGCCAGTTTAATACTTTACGTTGCTAGATGATTTTATTCCAACTCTTGGCATTTCTTAACCCCTTATTATCTGCGAACATATTATTTGTATACGAGTCTTTCTGTACTCATTATTCATTCTCTGTAATTTCCTTCTGAATTATTCTCTTTGACGTGCTTATAATTTTCATATGTTATCAGCTAAAAGCTGTGATTTAAAATATTTGCGAAAATATTCTTCCTTTTTTTAATAGTCTAAGCTCCCACCTTTCACTAAATCATAGGTTTAAACCTGAAGTCACTTCCATCTGTTCACTATCACTAGTTCTTGCACAAAAACATGACTAACAATCCCATATATTTAACAAGCTCTGGTGCATAAAGGTTTGTGCAGTTGTTGAGTTACATCTTCAAATAGTCGCACACATCCTGATTAAGTGTTACGATATTGAACACTCCAGAAGAACACTTTCATGGAATATCTTAGTTTTTAAGAAATCTAAGTGTAGTCATACTACTTACGGGTTTCACGATGGAACTTCTTACTTGTTAATTAACAGTCCTTTTTAAGCTGTTGGCTCTTGTTATATTTTGTTGATATGCATACAAGACCTAGGAGTACATCATCAACTATTTACAAGATTTTTGAAAAAAAAATATGTGAATTGAAGGGAAATGATCAGAAAACTTAAAATGTGAACATATTGGCTTCTCAATAAAATAACAGGTGAACGCAACTACACTGCGTAGACTACTTCCCACTATTGGCTTAGGAATCTTTGGACTAGTAATCTTTGATGTCTGTAGATCTTACTCTAACTGAAGATGAATCTTATCATCCTGATGGGGAAATGGTGTTTCCGAAACATGGTATAGGTACCTGAAAATAAACTTCAGGATTTGCTGCCTTGTCTTTTTCAAAATGATCCTACTGCTAATGTAGTAAACAAAACCTGTTCAGGTGGGTCATTCAACTTATTCAAGTCGTGTGAACTGGTCGGAACAAAACTGTGTTCAGTGTAAAACCATGTATAGATGGGAAGCTAATCTATTTGGGCATTTCAGTCGAAATATTATACTTAAGACAATGTTCATAAGACAAGAGATTAGACGGACAGAGTTTTGTCTATTGCAGATTTACGCAAGTACTGCCAGCAAAATCTGCTTGAGCGTGAAATATATAAAACACCGAAGGATGTTTCTGATATGCTCGTGAATTGGAGTCTGACGACTGAGACTTCAAAATTTACTAGATCTGATAATTTTTATTTCAGTGAGTAGCTATTACCCCTGTAACATTCATTGAGTTTCACGTAGAGAAGAATAATCTTTCGAAACTAGCTCATCGAAGTTGTGTCTGTTTCTCACAAACGACTTCAAAATTAAGACAACCTGATGTGAAATCCCCCACCTGCTATCATATAGAGTAATAAAGAAAAACTATAATGTCTGACTGAAATGTTCATCTTAGTACCACTTGATGTCAGTCAGCGGTCACTACCGCTCAAACTGTAGCTGGAAATACATCGGAACTGTTTCTCAGTACCTCTTCCATCCTACTAATTCGATCTAATAGTAGTACTTTACTGATTGACCCTTTTCTGTTTCACATGATATTTTGGTTTTGCTCACTGTTCTTTAATGTGTGAACAAGTTCTTACCGATGAAGATTAATTCTCTGACTCATTATAGGTGAAGAATTATTACACTTACATGAGGGATTTCTCTGTAACACCTATCACAGTGAGCGTAACTAGAAGATAGAATAGAACTCAGCATTAATATATTGTTGAAGCATAGTCATGACAGCTTTTGTCTCGGTACGATCTTTATGCTGACAATTAACAAACCAGCATATGACGATCCAGTTGATGACCATTTGAATGCAGAACGGAAACAGGTCTCAAGTGAAAGAACCGATAAGTTTATTATGAATACCTCGCCAGATTAGTTTCAATTGTCTAGTTTAATTCAAGACGTGAAATTTTCTCACCAGAGTTACATAAGCGCGCGATATGACTTACTTCAGTTATTACCAAGATTCTGTACTTGAAAGCGAATTTGAAGTATCTGGCTTGCTTCAGGTTGTCGGGTAAGTAAGTATGTGTTCTACGTCTCTTCGTTTAGTCGTCTGCATAGCCAAGATAAATGAGCCTTATGATGTGTTCATGTTTCTCAACTTAAGATCACTAATTCTATTAGTTAAGAAGCTTTGTGATGCTTAACACTGGGATCCGAGTAGTATATTAGTTTCCTAGGTAATTTTCAAATACAACCAAGGGTCTCCTCTTCATACGAATAGTAGATAGATAACCGTAGGACTGTAGAGCTTATAATTGTTAGTCTGGGTCATGAGGAGGATTATGAGCTACCTGACACGGTTCCTCGAGATGGTGTGAACAGTGACTGGGAATTCTTGATGGCATGGCTTGAAACCCATAACAGTGTTGTGGATATATACATTTGTTACCGAAATTTCATTGATCTCAAACGATTTCGTCAACTGTGATATTCTTTTGTTGACCACTTATTGCATGCCTCGGTAAAGTGCGGGAATCAACAACAATGGACTGTTTTGAAAGGTTTTATGCTGATTTATCTGTGAGGAAAGAGTAATTTGAAAGCGTTTCGTCATATTCTACGACACTGTAGTTACTGATACTTGCCAAATTGATTATCAATCAGCAGAGGGTTTAGAAAAATGTTCATGAATGCAACGGTGTTGAAATTTGTCAATTCATACTGAACAGTGGTTTGTGAAGTCAAAAATGTGTTGAGTTCTCTTAGTGTCAATAAATATCAAAATTTTGCCAAGTTATTATGTGTAAATTACGGGACAAACCTGTGCGAATGTGGGTCATCGGTTTGAATCCCTTTCTGTCTACTTTCCAAGGTTTAGGTGATAGACAGAACCAGCGTGGAACCTCGCACATCTGGAAGCATGAGGGCGGTTGACACTTCCCGACTGCTCACACCGTGAAAGGTCTCTTGATGTACCTAAAGGGATACTGTGTGACCCCAGAGCTCATAAGATATCTGCTTGAGACCGGTCACATATGATCTTTCAGCAAGTTTGGGATTTTGGTTTTCTACTTCCAAATCCGACTATGAAACCCTGTTGCAAGAATCGGTGGGTGTGCTTTTTCGGGGGCTGACCTAACCTACCCCCCCCCCCTCCACAGGGAAGGTAGCATCAGTGTGGCACTGCTGACCATCCAAGGGAAACCTTACTGCTGCCACAATCCCATCCCACCAGCAGTATAACCCCCCCCCATCATAGCGTCTCAATCTATACTATGATGATACCTGCTTCCTGTCTAACCACTATCCAAAAGACCTTTCTGGTATGATAGGACCTAAGGGGAACAAGCGCTCCACCAGCATAGTTCGTTGTGATATACAAGCCTGATCACCACGTCAAGGTAGCAGCTATCGATGAGATGTTTGGGCAGGCGACAGGATTCTCATATAATCAATACTGCTTGCTCCAACCTCCACGTCGCAATTAAACCCAGTTGCTTAGCTTAATTTAAGGTTGTTCTACCTTCATTGGTTTTCTTTTTTAGCCCTGCCGACAAAGTGTGGTAAGTAGAATTAATTCACCCCTATACGCGTTTCCATGTTAATGTCCGCATATGAAGGATGCAATGATTGCGAGGTTAGAGTAGTCGACCAAATTCATTTAGGCTGTCTGAGCACAAAACCTAGTAAAATCAAGGTTGATAAACCATAATAAGATAAGATATCCAGAGGAAAGCCCAACTATAGTTGTAGATGTGATTAAACGCAATAGGATGATGTAGCACGAAAGTATTAAAAACTTCGTGAAATAGAAAAGGGGACTGATAACTGAATCTTTGTTTGTCGAACCAACAATGACTCATAACCTATTTCAGATATATGGAGAATTCAACTATCCATATCATATATGAGGAGCGAAAATCAGAATTACATAGATGCACGCCTCAAAATTGTGAGGTTATCTTACTATGACTATGGACAATAAATTGTGCTCAAAACGTAATCTAGTAGACAATACTATTCTACTGTGTGATACATTTAATAAATCAACTAAAAGAGAATTACAACCCACCACAGTGCCCAAAGTTCCACTTCTATATTTGCATGAAAGATGCTCTTTGTATATCAACGCCATTGATGTAACTAAACTATTAAGTATTGCCTGCACAGATTATTTTCAAGGTCCAACAGCAATCCACACCATTTTCTTGTAAGATAAGATTGAAAACATTACACACTTTCATATGACTCTTGTTTATATATGGGGACAATAAAATCACAACATGAATATTAAGATGACAAATATTTTCAAATAAAGGAATGAAGAGTAAAAAGAAAAGAAATAATAATATAGACGGGGTTAATATTTGATGGTTCTTCTCGAGTATTATTAGTCTACTGCATTTTACTTCACCGTGAGTAATAATCATGAAAAACAAGGAAAATATGGAATAGATAACAGGGAGAGATGCATGACTGCGTTCATATAAAAAAAAACCCTTTATGCGATTGCCAATACACACAGATGTATACATATTCAGTGTGTAATAATAAAATAGCTTCAAATAAAGAATAGACAACAATAATATGGTTTTCAGCAGATAGTATTTACGAAATAAGGATCAACAAATTAACCGGCCATTTAGAAGCACAAAAATTACACTTTTTTTTTACTCAAATGACAAAATATATGAAGGTGGAGAATACTTTTGTTGTTTAAAACAAATAAAGACTCATGAAAATATAATCGAAGAATACACACGCACAGAGATATGACATTCAGATATTTTTTAAAAATAGCACCTGGATCTTAACATGAAAAAAGATAAATCATCCTAGAAGATAAATGAAAATAAAGCGATACTGGTAGAACGCAATGAGTGTTTGTACCTGGCAGGGGGAGGAGGAGGAAGTATCTTGGTTTTCTCTTATTCACATACCATTCCCAACAATCTCAGCTACAAATTTCAAGATAGAAAATATATACAAAACAGCTATAGGAAATCGAAACTGAATAAAATGTTTATGATATGAAGAGTAGCAACCAATGTTATTAGTTTACAAGCTAAATTGAGGTATTCTGTACCATAGAAAATGATTTCTACAGCCTTAATTAAATCAGAAAATCCGAAGAAAAACGCACACTAAAAAAACCTCAAAAGCCCTATAGGTAATTACTTTCCAAGGATAGTCTCTGCACTTCTAAAACACGTTAGAATAATGAAGAAGAAAATATGCGATTCGTGACTACAGAAGCGTAAAATCGAATAAACAGCTCTCAATCATGGTCTCTCAACTTTTAAAAATTCTAGACGACCGTATTTATTGCCTGAAATTCATATCTCAATATGCATTGATTAACCACAGGAGAGCAACCGATTTCATGTTATCTAGTCCTGAGTGCGAACAGAATCCTACCGATCATATTTGTAATCTGGCCACAAACCTAGGAGGCTCAGCATCACCGGGCACATTAGTAGATGTTAGTTGGTTGGAGGCAATCGGCAAGAAACTCTGGGCCAAAGTTTCGTGCTTGTTGGGACTCATCAACGAGGTGTATCTGCAATGCATACAACCCGGTCCTACAGCGGGTGAATTGTGGCCCGAAAAGCTCAGTGGTAAAGTCGCCGACTAAAACACTGGACGACGTAGGTTCGGGTCGCAGATGGGACATCAGTTCCGCCCAGGTTGCACAAACGCCCTGATGACGAGTGGCAACAAACAAGGAACCCATGTCCAAGGCTTCTTGCCGATTGCCTCCAACCAACTAACACATCTAAATATACTTCTCAGTGGTTCTAAGCCTTCTATTACTTAGTTCAAGAATGGATACTACTGGATAAACGACGTTCTCTTCCTATCATTCCAGTAGCCATAAAGAATAAATACAGTTCACGCCATATCTGCTCAGTTATTATTATTATCGTTTGTCCCTCGAGTTCCTACTGAAACACGGCTTCAGTAGCACGTCACCACTGCACTCTCTCCTCTGGAGTCTGCCCACAAGCTTTCGTTTCATTTCAAATCTCTCGAAACCTTTGAAGTTAAATTTTAGGATAAGTTTCTCGATTTATTCATGTGACTCAAAATCGCCGGCATGATTCGCCACCAGATACAAGCTGTTTTATGATGATATTTGAGTTTTACTGCGGCATCATTCTCCATTCTTTACATATTGTGACCATGTTCTACTAGCGTTCTTTAGAATTGAACTCACTCAAAAGTTGAACGCAAGAAGTCTTATATTCACATGAATCAGGAATATCACAAATTGACATATTCCTCCTCGACCTCTGTTCTTGGGAATTATTCTCACTGACAACGTGGACACAAAATTATTATTGTGTTATTATTTATCCCTTGTGTTCCTAGAGGAGCACAGGGATTCAGTATGACGTCGCCATTGCACTCTCTCCTCTGCAGTCTATCCAGCCTGGTTCCACGACTACCCAGTAGCTTTCATTCCTAACTCACACTATCTCCGCCATGTCACCCACGCCTCAGACGCCCAACTCGTCCTTTCCCACATGCGTTACACTCGAAGGTCTGTCCCTGGCTCGTAATGTTCCCGAATGGTCTTCTCTGTGTATGCCCAATATAATCCATCTCCACTGTATTCTGCATATTTGTTAGGTGATGGGTTGTTGGTTGGTTCGTCACCAACCAGCCAGAGTTCCTTGTTCCCCATTCTTATTATTCTGACCATCTGATCTCATCTCATCTGATCTCCAGTATCGAGTGAGCCTAGGTGGCAGGTGTAGATGTGATGTTTGTCTGTAGTTTGTTGGAAATGCTTTCCATAACGCGCCAAGTCTCTCAACCATCACACACAAACACTGACTTGACTGAATTAGTGTTGAAAATCTCGATGTTGTTCACGCTTTATGCTGAGTGAAGTGCAGTGCAGTCGAGTTGAGTTGAGTTGAGTACAATAGATCTCCACACTGATTTCAGGTTAATGAAGGAAGGCCTGTCTTGCTTGCTTGCTCGCTTGCTGTTCCGATCCTGCCTTTGATGTCTTCATCTGTGCCTGTGCCTGTGCCACTGCCTGTAGTTTAACGAGGCTGCCTAAACAGGTAGGTGAAGGAGACAACTTCCTTCAGATTTCTCCCACTGACGATGATTGGTGCTTCTTCTTGATGTTGTTGTTGGTTGGGTATCTTCATCACCTCTGTCTTCTCCACCTTCACTTGAAGTCCCGTCTTCGCTGTCCTACCTCTTCTCTCAACTTCTTGGATTGTGTCTGTAGATGTTCGAGTTTGTGCCACAAGACATTAGACATAAATCGTCATCGCTGGCGAAATCCAAATCTTCTTCTGTGCTCTTTTCATCAGTGCAGACAGTGTATCACCCACCCTCTTCTCCCTCCTCACACTTGTCTCTTGCATGATCCAGTCGAGTCCAGTCGACAACAATCATGAAGATCATCGTTGATAGTAGGCGGCAACCTTGTCTTACTCGTGTCCCCTGTCTTCTTCACTTCAAAAGCATCACTCAGCTTTCCACTGAGAATCACTTGGCATGTAGCCTCATCATGCAGCATAGCATATAGCTAGCTGTTGAATGAGGTTGATAAAGGTATGTGGTACTAAAGCCGTAGTGTTGAAGCAGTTGCCTGCCAAATTACTTCTCGGTCGACACCGTCGAAGGCCTGTTCAAAGTGGATGAAAGTTGAGTTGAGGTGAGTTGAGGTAAAGATCCAGTTGACTGGCATTCTATGCTCTCTTCTGTGATGATGAGTAGTGTAGTGTTGCAATTTGATCCACACATGATTTGTTTTTCGTGAAGCAAGCCAGCCAGCCAGTTAGTCAGTCAATCAGTCAGTGAGTCGGTCTGTTCTGGTCGTCATTTTGAATCCAGTACATCGTTTAGTCTCTCCACGATGATGTGGGTTAATATTTTGCTTGCTTTGGGTGGACAGGAGCATGATTTCTCGCCAGTTCTTCTTCCAAAGGCTCAGGTCGCCCACCCTTCTTCTGGAGTTTGACAAGGTAGCTCTTCTTACAATCAATCGACAGGTAGGTACCTTTCCTCCATTCCCACCCTCCTTGCTTGCAAACCGTCTGGAATAGTGATGTGGTATGAGCGTGTCCGTTGTTGATGTCTCTGCGTCTGTTTCCAGTGCTTCTGGAGGAATTCCATCTCGTCCTGCTGGTTTAGCGGATTTCAGCAACTTCATGTCATGGCGTTCAGGACTTCCCTTCTGCTCTTGTCAGAGGGCTTGTGTTGACTGATACTTGTGTGGTTGGGCTGGTGGTGTTATTTCTGGCCGATTTGCAGGTGGTGGTGGTTGTCGATTCAAGAGTTTTTCAAAGTGGTCAGCCCATCTTTTCGTTTGTTTTTCCTCTTTGGTGATAACTACGTTTCGTTCACTATCTTCCTTGGTTTCATCTGTGTTGATCTCTTCCCCACCAGATAGTAACATGGTTCTTTTATATAGTCTACTCAGTTCCTGTTTTCGTTGTTTATCCCTGCACTGCACTGTTTCATCTTCTGCCTCACCATCTTCCTCTCCCTTCCCTATCACCTTCCATGTGGAGATCCATTCCTTGTCTTGTCCTTGTCCTCTTCCTTCCTAACACGCTTATGCAAGTTTCTTTCCACATCTCTTTTAAAGAGTTCCAATGTTCTTCCACACAGGTCTCTTCACAGATGTTGCTTAACGTCTCCTTTCTCCCATGTGGCTGACTGACGTGAAAATGTCCTTTGTAATTTAGTCGTTCAGTTCAGTTTCTGTTCTGGGTGTTGAACGTGAACTGTGGTCTATCATCACCAGCTTCTTTGGAGGCTCCCGACTTGATTTCAGTGTAGTGTGTCCATCTGGTGAATGGTGAAATCGAATCCATATCGCTGCCTTGTGAATATCCTTGTGTTGTGTGTGTGCACAGTGACTCCAATCACGAAATCGTTGAATGCGCAGAAGTCTACAAATACTTCTCCATTCTCACTCATCATTCCACCGACTTCCTCTCGACCCATGATGAGTTCTCTTCCTGTGGTTCCCTTTCTGCTCCCAATTTGGTGTTCATATCAACCCACCCATTAGAATTTTGATGTCACCATCGCCAATTGAGGTGGAGTCTTGTCCACTACTGATTGCAGTTGTCTATAGAATTCCTCTTTCTTCTCTTCATCTGCATTATTTGTAGGCGCATAGTGTAGCGTAGCATAGCATTGTATCATTGTGACTTCCCTTCCTTTTCAGTTGAATCCATCTTCTTGTCATGATCCTCATCATGCAGGAGGAGATTGGTTCCCATTGCCTGAGAGAGAGAGAGAGAGCCTTCTATGCTCCTGGGAGGGGACATCATGATAGCCACTCCACAACTCAGTGTGCTCGTTCGTGGTTGTCGTCTGAGTGACAATATCGGAGTAGATCATTGACTCTCCAGTTGACAGTTTTGAGAGTCCACTTCCATTCTATCTGCATATTCCTCGCAGGTTCTTAGCACATCTATGTTATGTCTTCTCATCTCTTTTGCAATCTGAGCAGCTTTGTCAGTCAGCCAACTTCAAACATTGTGTGGACATTTCATGTCCCTATGCTTACTTCTGCATTCATTGAGAGAGAGGAGACGCATCGGCCAAGTGACTTGCCGAAGGCTTTCAGTAACTGTCGTCATTCCGTCTCCCCGATTCCCGCGAGGAATAAGTTTGTTTTCATTGTTGATATTTTTTTTGTGCTTTGAAGTTTGTTTAGCGATTGGATTGGTTTTTTGGGGTAGAGTTGCTAGCCCTATGCTCAACTTTCTTTATGCGGGCTTAGGACCGGCTAGTAAATTAGGCGACGTTCCCCATCTGCTCACACTCTTGGTTAATTGCTATGTTATGTTAGAAAATTCGGTTACCTGAATCGTCACACTGATGTACAAACTGTAAATTCATCTGATCTCTTCATTTGAATATGAACCAAGTATACGCATGTAAAGTTTCACAGTGTCTCTTGTTTCAGCCATTTTTTACTTAAATCGAAGAATGGATCAGATAGATCCTCTGGAGCTGACAGTAGTATTAAGAAACGCGTCAATAACAACTTTCCATACAGAATAATCACGAAGATGTTTTCCATTCATATCAGATTAGACTAACTCAATGCATTTTTCATAAGCTTATAAAGGTTTTTTTGCAAAGTAATACATGAAAATACAAACTAGCGCAAACAATATCAATCTATGATAAATTTCAAATACCTAGATATATTCATTTACTTTCTTAGTGTTCACAAGTGAAGTTTTATAGACTCATGCATAAAATGACAAGTCCAAAGATAAAACACAATGAGAGTATAAATGCATAGACATCATTTCATATCTAACAAATGTTCTGACGATTACAAATTGAAAGTCAATTATTCTTTAGTTGTTAGTCGAGAAATGCCTCTCATACATCACTATATTTGAGCTGAGGCAGTGAAGAATACAATACCTATAGTTGGTCAAGACTTCAAAATTACTAAAATTCATCATGATATTTTCAATACTTAGGTTTATTTTCTGTAGGCAACTATATATGGACCTTCTGTATCACTAGAATTATCCTGATTATCAATATTTTTTTGGCAAGTTTGAAATAGATTTTAGCTTTGAACACCCTAAACAGAAGTGTTTATCGGATTTAACATATCTAACCATAATGAAAGGAAAATCAGGTCCAATTAATATGATACTAAGAACTAAAGTTGATCATAAAGCATACTGTTACACCGTATACATAGCGACAATGCAATTGGTCGACTGATGAAGTAGTAGTCATAAACATGTGTATAATCATTAAACGTCAAATTAATGAAAGTAATATAACTGAGCTTCAACTACAAGCGGCACAGACAAGGACGTCAAAGTCAGGATCGGAAAGACAGCTAGATAGGCCTCCATTAACCTGAAACTAGTGTGGAGATCTTCTGCACTCAGCATAAAGCGTGAACAACATCCGGATTTTCAACGCCAATGTCAAGTCAGAGCTTCTATACGGTTTGGAAACTTGGCGCGTTACGGAAGGGATTTCCAACAAACTACAGACATTCATCAACAACCGCCTACGCTGGCTCATTACTGAAGCTCAGATGGCCAGAATGATGAGAATAAGCAACAAGGAATTCACTCTGGGAATGAACCAACCAAGAACCCATCACCCAACAAATATGCAGAATAAAGTGGAAATGGATTAGATTGGGCATACACCAAGAAAACCATTCGGAGACATCACGCGCCAGGCCAGTCACTCGAATGGAAACCAGATGGGAAGCGACAAGTTGGGCATCCGAGGCGAGGGTGACATGGAGGAGATCGTGCGAGGAAGAAATGAGAGCTTCTGGACTGTCGTGGAGCCAGGTTCAAAAGATTTCAGAGGACAGAGTGCACTGGAGACGTGGTACTGAAGCCCTATGTTCCACTAGGAACCCGAGGGATAAATAATATAAAATAATAATAATAATAATATAACGGAGCCATAAATTAATAATAACCTTGCACTTTTGAAATCCTTTTGTCTTCCAGTAACCTCTCATGTAGATATATCTCTCCAGTACACCTGCTACAGAAAGTGAATGAACATAATAGTTGCTAAAATTAAATCTATATTGCTAAAACAGAATAAAAAGGATTGCTTAATTGTGACTGATGATTACCAATAAACAACTAGCTTATCTACAATTATCAAATAAATAAGTGAAAAAGACTCATTTGACCTATTTATAATTTAACCATTAATAACATTATGTAGAATAAGGTCAACATACCGTAATATTCATAGGCTCCTTTAAATATGATACATATATCCTACGAATAATTAATTATACAATAAGTACAATGTGTAAATTGTACACATTATAATCTGATAGAGAGAATCTGCTGCACTGTTTTCATGAATCTCTTACTCATTATTATCAGTCTCTTCAGATTGAAATGTTTCATTACTTCTATTAGTATTTTCATCATCAACTGGTTGTGTTAGTTGAGATGGTACATTTATAGCATCGTTGTAATCTGGTGCATGCACATCATTATTATCAATAAACATACTGACTTTTAAATCATCTGGTAATGAGTGAGCTAATACACTTGAAGACTTATAATAGACTAAATTATCTTCAACTATTGGTGAAGTGCTTAGACTTTCATAACCCGATGGATATAAATTAGATGGGTTCAATTCTTCAATTGTAGATGAGTGACAACGTCTTGCTTTCAATTTTTTCCCATGTTTTCGTCTCACATTTTTAACAATTAAATTACTTTTTGGTAATTGATTTTCATTTTTATAATGTTTATCGATAACAATCTGTTCTGAAGATTCATATTTCGATGAAATATTATCAACAGCTGAAGGTGAAGTATCTTGACTTGGAAAATCAGCTTCTGATAATATAGATTGAGCAGGTATAGTAGACGGTCGAAATATTGTTGAACCAATAGTACCAGATGAAACAGTAGATTTAACACTGAATTGCCAAACACCACGATTACCAACAGTTGATGCTTGTTGAACACTACTAGGACTCTTATCATAATTCCAATTCGTTTCTTCATCCTATGGAAAAGACGAAAAAAGTAAAAGCATAAATAGACACAAAAATAAGCAGATATATAAGAAGTATTCAATATTAAATAATATACTAGAACAAATCAAACTTAGAGTCACAGTGTAAATATATGACCATCGATAACACTGGATGAAGATTCCTGTATATTACGAGTTCACTAAGGTTAAAACATATCAATTATTCTGTTTCAGATGACCAAACAAAATTTTAATGGACTGGATGCAAGATTTCACAGTGGGACCAAAGGTATGGATCATCCCTGCTCCACAACAGAATAACTTTTCAATGCTCCAAGTTTTAAACTACACAATCAAACCATATATTTTCTTGAAAAAATAAATCGGTGCCTACCTGAATAGCTTCCGCTATTGATTGTGCCAAATCATCTGTGCCACGACCAACTAGACTGGATAAAGAGCTACCTAAACTGGAATTTTGATAACTCCCTTTGAATAAAAACAGTAAAAATACAATGATCAGTATGCATTCATGAATACAAAATTTTTCAAAACATTCTTCAAGTTTTATAATTCAAAATGGATAACATGCTACTTGCTTATTCGCAAGCACAGTGATTTATGTACTAGATGGTTGGAATCAGGCTTTATGCTTGATTAAGCTAGTCAGAAAGCCCTGTATTTATAAGCCTATAAAAATATACGATCTCTGGTAGATTCCGAAACCATACGATGTAGCTCTGGAGTCAGATCTGTTAGTTCAGGTTTTAGATTAGGTGGATACTAATTAATTTTTTCAGAAAAAATTTATTGAATTCATCCACTTCGAATATTAGCTGTAAGTATCCGTGCTTATAATAGAAAATTTATGCCAAGTGTCCGTAGAGAAACCTTGAAGTGACTATATGTATATATATGTATATATATATATATATATATATATATATATATATATATATATATATATATATAATGCAGTAGCTACAGTTTCTCACAATTTATTTAAATCTGCTTGAGATATTAGCTTTCTTTAGATCAAATAAGTCTAATCTGTCTACGGTGATACGTAACGGTAAACAGTTAGTTAGACTTATCAAAGGAATTTGGGTGTAAATGTTGATAGTTAGTGAGAATATAACGGAGAAGAGGAGAGATAATTGGAATGATGAGTGGAGCACTTCGAGGTACAATTCAACTGGCTTCCAGCTACTATCTCGGCTGTGCAGTCAGATCCTGAATGGGATATCAAGATAAAGCCACAAACAATTGCCAAGGCCAAGAAAGCTGAAGGTAATCTCGAACAAGGAATGGTAACAGGGTTAGATGGACTAGTACCAGACGTATTTAAGAACGGTGGTGGAGGATTGTTTTTGTCAAGTTAACTGAAATGTTAACTAGTAAGTGGGAGTCAGATATGATCCCCTCTGACTAGTCTCAATCAGTGATTATCTCAGTCTTCAAAAAAGGTTAAAAGTCCTCTTGTAACAACTACAGAGGAATCAGCCTGATGAAAATAGTGTTTCAAGTTCTAGGTTCCATAATCACTAGACGTCTAAGTGGAGTCCTGGAACAGCAAACCTGAGAAAACCAGGGAGACCTGAATAAGGGTGAATCGACCAGACATTCACCCCTCCGCCAGGTTCTGGAACACAGGTACCTTTACCGAAGCTCGACAGTAGCTACATTACCCAACCTGAAGACGAAAGTCGACTCTGTCAATCGAGAGGTCCTATGGCAGTGTGTCTCAGTGAAAGGCATCAAAAGTAAGCATATAATTCTGTTAAAGGTTCTGCACTTTAATACCCCTGGGCACGTTAGAGCCAATGGCAAGTTGTCAGGTGAGCTATTTACATCAAGTGGTCTGTCGAAGATGCTCACTCTCTCCATTCCTGTTTAATTTTATCATAGACGTTCTTATGGAGGTCTTCCTCTCGTCGTCTGACTTTACAGAGATTGGCCTAAGCACAGGAAAATCCTTGGTAGATCCAGAATAGACAGTTGATACAGTCCTGTTAGGTGAAGACCCCCATGAGATAAACAGTCTTCTGGACACCTTGAGCGGCGAATTGAGAATGTTTGAGATGCGTTTCTCAACATTCAAATGTAAATAGCTGCTTTAGGATTGATCTTCGGTGTCCGGGCTAACAAGTGGAAATGAGGTGTTTAAGTGCGCTGAACACTGCACTTACTCGGGAATTCAGCTGCCTTAGTACGTTAGTGGCCGACCAAATTGCTGCACGGTTGCAAAAGGCTCGACCGGCTTTCATGAGCTTACGCCATCTGTAGCGGCTCCACGATATCCGATTTTCTCTCAAGGGTTCAGCGTACTGAGCTCCAGTTCCCTCTGTTCTACTATATGGCTGTGAAACTGCCATTAAAGGTACAAGACATGTGGAGGCTTCTGTTGTTCGACCAGTGTTGCTCTCGTAACATAGGCCGTGTGTCATGGTATCACCATGTGAGTGACACAGAAGTCAGGTGTGGGGTTTTAGGAAGGAGGGAGAGGAAATTCAATTGATGTGGTTATGAAACTTCATAGACTAAGATGACTGCTTCTTCGCGCAATGTTAGCTCAAGTAGGTTCAGGCTGGAAGAAGGCTCAATGTGACCAGACTAAAACATGATGTCCTTCGCTATTGGTTTGAGCCATGTTGGGAGATGCAAACTACCCGGTCAAGGTCCATGCGACAATAACCATCAGTAGTAAACAGCACAATAAGTCAGTCTACGAATAAGTTGGTCTACACTACTTAGCTGAAAATTTCTTTAGAAATAAATTAAATAGTTTATTATTAGTAAGGTCAAGCAAGAAAAACAGTCGAAAAGAGCTAGATGTTTGTTTAAGCATCTCATTAGTAATCCAACCTAAAAGACTGTAAGGAAAAATCCCATGAAATTACACAGTCTCTACAGGCTATGCTATTGTTACTTGCAGTGTGATGGTTGACGATGGAGTGAAAAACTGGGTGACAATATAGTAGAGGATCCGTAACCCAAAGACCACTAGTACAAACTGTGTTATGACTGAAAGTGAAACAGCATTCCATATCGTAAATACTGGTCTGCCAAACCACAACTGCATAGTAGTCTCAATAATCATCATCAGGTGTTTTGAGACAGACAACCATGATACTGTGATCATAAATATATACGACACTGATGACTAAAATAGTCATATTTGTAGGTAAACTTTATCGACTGATTTGATTGGATAGGCGGGTATGTTAAGTATACATAACTACCATCTTCGTCACTAAGCTATGCCATACGAAGTACAATATAAAAAGCTGTACAGTGGTCAAACTAAAACCAAATGTCACAATTTTATGAATTCACGAGAGCTAATCACTTAAAAACCCGACATGCTGTGCTGTAAAAAAAAAGGAGACAACTTAGCACATATTCTATGCGAGATTATCTAACTAGATGTATACACCGCCTATCACAATTCTTCTTGACATTCTGGCAAAATCTGTGACTGTACAAACTTAGAATGACTTGCCTGTGAGAAAAACAATATCTATACCTCTCACACACACACACACACACACACACTTAAAACAATAAACATACTTCTTGGAAATGTAAACTGTAAATTTCTACACTTCATCATATTGCCACACGTTTGAAATAAGATAGTCATTAGAAAGAAAATAACCTTGAACTGTTTACTACAAATAATGTTTTGCACATGATTCAGGTATCGATGATCAGTCATTCCAAAAAAGAAAAAAATTGGTCTATTACTGTTTACTGCAAACGTTTCATAAGACTTAGAAGTATAATCATCCAAGTTATCATTTAAAAGAAGCATGGAAAATTGATTGTCAGATGATAAGAGACACGATGTTTTTAGCTTTCATTGTTGTTGATTACTTTCTGACTGATAAATTCAGTTATATGGAAAGAAAAGTACTGAAATGTATGTTGATCAACAGTTGCTTTCCAACGCTTAGCGCTGTTCAGAGTAGGGTTATGTAGTAAAAAAAAACTATGATTCAGAGCATATTTTATTCACTTCCAAATAAATAAAACAAAAGGTGGGCAGTAAATGTTGTGATGAATATTATTCATAACTTATTAACAAACTTACCACCTTCAATGATGATTGGTTCACCAGTGGGTCCAAAACCACCAGTAATACTCAACGGACGAGTTGGTTCACCTGATGAATTACGCCATCTTAATTGTGCACTATTGTAGCCAGTACTAGAATCCAATATCAAACCTGATGGTAATCTTGGCAACATGATCGTTTTCGATGGAGGTGTATTACGACTCATTGCAGTCAGTGTCATATTGGGATGATGGTGAGAAAGATGTGAATGAATGAAAGCATGATGAACAGACGATGAGGTGGTTATCGTAGACGACGAAGAAGATACAGAAGAACTGTGATATGCAATCATATTTAGACTATTATTAGAGCCATTCAACGGTGTCAATGTCGCAGGAAATCTATCTTTCAATAATAATTCATTGTATGATGTATCAGTGATATCTAATATTGGTGGCAATATAGATGGTGTATTCAGCGTGAATGCTTCTAATAGAGTAGGATGTAAAGCAGTTGTTATGTGTCCACCGAATCCTACTGTTTGTGAACTAATGGATAGACTGTCATTTTCTGATGAACTCAATGATGAAAGTCGTAGATCACATCTGCTCCATTCACGCTAAATTAGGTTTGTTGAGAACAAACAAACATGACAATAAACCATTAACACACTTGGAAATGCGTATTAAAATTTCAGGTCAGCATGAAATAAGTATGATTATAGGGAATTAACGCTTAGAAATATGCAACTGTTCTTCAAAAGATACTACTACAAAAAACAAGAATAGTTAGAAACCAACCAGGCATATCTGCAGTATTTCGCCAGCCAGATCAGAGTAATCTAAACACCGGACGGTCATTTCACTAGTTTTGGGGTCGAATTCACCAGCGGTGTACCCGGACAAATTCAGCTCAGTTCAGATAACCTCATCAGACCAACCAGTCAGTCAGAGTGGTTTCTAACTACTCAAGTAATTAAGTAGTAGTACCTTTCGCTAGTTCACGATATTTCTATCAAAAGTCACACCTTGTGATCCTCCGCTGAATGGTTTCCAGCGGAAACCTTGTTGACACCACAGTTGGGTAGTGGAAAAACCTACTCAACCGTGAAAAATGTCAACATGGACAGTGAAATTTATAAATCATTTGCAAACTGATCATCCTATGCAACTATTCCTCATTGAAAAAAATGCATATAACATGAGCAAGGAAAAACCACTTACAGTCTTTCTCTTTTAAGATGGTGCTGAGTGCAAATACTCAAGATTTAGATGTCAAGGAGTGAATACATCTGCGCTATCGTAACTGATTTCCAGCCATATCACCAAGTGTCCCCGACCTCGTCTTGGGTATACCAACCAGGCAGTCTACCTCTCCCCATACGAATCAGGCTAACAGTCAGAGACTTCATCGACTGGTGCTACGTCTTGACCTGACCACTCTGAACCCTATCCCAAACTAATACAGCCTCCCCTAGCATGGCACGTCGAGATAGGCGGTAGCTCGGAAGTGCAGTACATGTCCAACCCATCCTAGTCAACTTAAGTTCACAACCTCATCAACCGACTTGCCTAGTACCCCTCGCCTGACCTCAACATTGCTCACACAATGATTCCACGAAACCCAAGCAATGCTACGAAGACGTCTGAGATCAAAACCTTGTAACCGTTTCGTGTCTTCTACTTTTAACAACCATACAACAAGACAGGATGGACTGAAGAGTAGTATTCTACCTCCGTAACGGGTAGTCGAATGCCTCACCGGTCGCCGCAACAGACGATGCAAGTTGCCGAGTGCCAAACGTGTTTTCTTCATCCGAGCTGAGATTTCGTCAGTAACCAGTCCATTCGGTCTGATGCAACTCCTCAAATAAGTGAAGTGGTGGACACATTCCACCACCTCACTCCCTATCATTAAACTGGCAGTACCTGAGCAGAACAGCCCTGGAGCATCATCTTAAATTTGACAGGTGTCAGAAAGATGCATGCCCAAAATACACAGATTTCTGCTAAACGCATTCACAAGACCCTGTATTTTATCGACGTCTTCATCTAGCAGGACAATATCGCCTGCATACTCCAAGCCAACCAGATGACCTTCACCGAGTAGGTCAATCCCTGTGAAATCAGACTTAGCTAACCTAAGGTTATGTCCATTGGTACGTCTATGACGAAGTTAATTAGGAACGGTGACAGTGGACATCCCTGGTGAACACCGCTAGTTGCCATCACACTTAGCATGACAGCTCTTCATAAGTTCTGACACGGCAGTGTGAGTTCAACTAGAGAGTTTTGATAAGCACTGAATACTTGCTGGGTACTCCCTTCACAGTCAGACACTGTTACAACACCTCATAGCCTTCAGGTAGAGAAATATGGCAAGAATCAGCTACCGGTAAGCCTGGCTATGTTCCAGGTAGTTGGCAAATAAACCATGCTTAAAATATCTATCACATAGTAGTAGCAGATAAACTTTTACATATCAAATCTCAATTAATGGTATAACGGCAGTGAAAAAGATAGCCCAAATCACATGCATTTTAGATCATAGATTACGTTTTCGAAATACCTTCGGTCAACAAATATTGCAATTATGAGAGCAGATGTAGACTATTCTGTTTCAGCAAAAAAGATACAATCAAATGTCAAGTTCATTAGTTTATCATAGTTGTAGACAATGCAATCGATAATCAGAACCAACATACACAAATGCACAACAGCTGAAAGGGTGCTAAATAAATGCCCCAGCAGGTGACATCAAAAGAATAGAATTTGAAAATTAGAAAAAGATACAAAGATAAGTGTACATGGGACAGGTGACAAAAATACCACCGACAACAATGTTTTCATACTCATTGATGTAACTGGAAAGAATGTAAAACAGAGAGTATCGTTAATTATGCATAGAAGAGAACAGACGATAGGGTGATGAATTCTTTTTCTTCACAAACTTTAAGAAATCTTTACGGCAAGAAAGATTTATTAAAATGTGTTACAGACATAAAGACTGTTATCGGGTGATATTCACATGGATAGCGATCACAACTGAATTTTGATTCATTAGTTTACGGGTGTGTTGTAAGATCCCAGTTTACTGTAAAATCTTGTTATTGACGTGTCATTATTTTCACACCATTTTTTACGGTATGACTAGTAGTCTATTTCCTGCCCCCATTGTAATGTAAATCGCTGATTGGTTAATCTCACTACGCTTGTGCCTCAAATTGAGGACAAGGTCATTATTCATGTGTGTATTAACTCACATGTTTTGGGATTGATATCATATTCTCGGAGTAATAAACTCTCCCATCATCCAGCTTCGGTCTCCTCTCTATTCGTCCAGGGGTTGCAGTAAGTGGCTCTTGCATACTAAGTCAGCTGTCAGCTAAGCGTGCATATTATATTCATTCGGAATATATAACTATTAGCGTTCGAAAATATAATAAGGTGAAACATAAGTTAAAGATCCCCATAGATTATTCCGAACGAGAATAATTTGAGCGAACGTATGTGTTCAGAAGAAATATGTACATCTACTCTGTCTACCTTTGTCCATAATAGGGTCGATACGCTCTTTATGAACTTCATTCTTTTTTCCTGAAGAAGCTCGGACCAGACTTCCGTGCGAAACGTTGGAATTATTTGATTTCAAACCAGCTGTGATCTAATGTTTACTACCACAATTTGCACATTTTAACCTCCCATCCCTTCTATATTGTCATTTCTTTGAAGGACATTCATTTTCTTATGTTACTAGCTTTGTCCCTTCTTTATTTATACAACAACCTGTAGTCATTTTTGAACCATGACGTAACACTCTTCACATTTGTTATTCTCTGTTTCGTTATGATATTCGCATGATTTTCACCCCACTTGAATATAAGTCATCAATACACAATTATTATTTGATCCTCAGTAAACAAACAAACAAACACACATATTTATGTTGCAATAAGTGTATACAAATAATTCATTATCTCTAGGATTTTGTTGCCTCATTTCGTAATTCTTGTGTCAATATTGATTTCACCGCACAACTTATACACTAAACTGATAATAATCCCACCATTCCATTCGATTTAATCTCCATTCCCCCATAACACTGACTGTTTCAATATAATAATAATTGTACATCACTTATTCTCATGGAATTATGCTTGTAGAGTTTAAAGAAGTTATTAAAAACAATTGTTCACTCAAATTATTCTTGTTTTGGATAAATATTTTTATTACTACAGAATTGTACGAGGAGATGATGATGAATGTGTACTTTTCCAACTTTCAATATTAGAACAGAAATATTGCACCACTGAAGTCTTCAGTCACACCTACACCATTTTTAGTTTCATTTGTATAAATGTAATTTTTGACTTCAATTATTCAAGATGTGAAATTATTTCGCTAGACTGTTCAATTTATATATATATAATCAAGAAATAAATGTTCACCATTTCTACATATAACTAATTTTGATGTTTACATGTTTTTTTAGTGACGTTGTTACAAAGTGAATCCAAGGGATTGGACTTGAAAAAACTCTAAGACAATGTAATATTTTTCTTATCGCTTTAGTCTATAAAGCTCAGAACCTATTATTAACCATCTTTCGCATACTCGATACACTTATTTCCCAGCATAGTTCATCATTACTTGGTTGCTGTTCTTTATATTATCCCGTCGTTCATTAGATCAAACTGATAAGTCTGTATTGGCATATAACATAAAAGCTATACCCGTAGCGCAAAGAATGATTATTGTAACTTGTTTTTGCTTGTGGATAACGCTCTGATGTTTGGAGCGACCCATTCCAGGTTTGAGTCTCATTGGGATCCAGTTGCATCCAGCTGACGAGTCCTAAATAGGACGAAAGGCGCGTAATGGATTCCACTGCTAACTATTATCCATTATCATGATGAACTAAAAAGCTGTTCAGAATTAATTTTCTTTTTAAAATACTTAGTTCATCCTTACTTTAAGCACAATATGTGTTCATCATTTAAGAGAATATTAAAAGTAATCTGTAAATAACTGTCCTAACAAAATCACGATAGAATAATAGCCAGGTGGATATAAAACGTTTTGCTAATTAATTCATGTACATCAACGAGAGATGAAAGTGAATAGAATAGTGGCCTTGTACAACTTAGATTCTACTGGTCTCTGTTCTATAAGCGAATGATGAATGGTAAAAATACAACCATAGAAATAACCAATTACAAATGAAAATATAATCTTCTGCCCTTCATATTCCTTATTTTGTTTGGTTTATCGTTTGCTTTAACTACAAAATTCGTAACAACGAAACTGATTGATTTTATCACAAAGTACCAGTGGTTTCATATCAAATATCCTTGCGTTAAAAAAAAGATTACATATGATTCGCTTAAACAAAAGCCATAACAGTTAGCTTTAAACAAAGGTGTGATATATAGTGCAGCAATCAAACAAAGCTATGTAGGATAGCACGAAAGCGCAACAGCTTTATGTATCAAACAATACACCAAAAACCAACAGGAGTAAAAGAATATTAATATAAATAAAAAGCATAAAGTAGAACAGAGACAATAGATGAAGTTTCCTACTGTTAGTCTAACTCGCGCACGCAAAGGTAGACTGCCAGACTGGGATCCCTGAGACGATGAGAATCAATGGTTGAGGACACTTGGGGATAAGGCTGAAAATGATCACAATGGTGCACATGTTTTCACTACTTGAAATCTTCAAAATGTTGAACACTTCCACAAAACATTAGAAAAATTCCAATGGGTGTGTGACATAAATACCAAATAGGGAGCAGAAAGGGAACCACAGGAAGAGAACTCATCATCGGTCGAGAGGAAGTCGGTGGAATGATGAGTGAGAATGGAGAATTGTTTGCAGACTCCTGCGCATTCAACGATTTTGTGATTGGAGTCACTGTGCACAAATACAACACAAGGATATTCACAAGGCAGCGATATCGATTCGATTTCACCATTCACCAGATGGACACACTACACTCAAATGCAGATCGACTTCATTTCAATGTGAAGAAAGTGGAGACGCAGCCTACTGGACACAAACAAGATCAGACCAAGAAGAGGAGCAGATGTAGGTTCACACCACTCACCACCTAGTGCAACGAACCTAACTTCAAAATCAAGTCGGGAGCCTCCAAAGAAGCTGGTGATGATAGACCACAGTTCACGTTCAACACCCAGAACAGAAACTGAACTGAAGGACTAAATTACAAAGGACATTTTCACGTCAGTCAGCCACACGGGAGAAAGGAGACGTTAAACAATATCTGTTAAGAGACCTGTGTGGAAGAACACTGAAACTCTTTAAAAGAGATGTGGAAATAAACTTGCATAAGCGTGTTAGGAAGGAAGAGGACAAGGACAAGACAAGGAATGGAACTCCATATGGAAGGTGATAGAGGAGAGAGAGGAAGATGGTGAGCCAGAAGATGAAACAGTACAGTGCAGTGCAGTGCAGGGATGAACAACGAAAAGAGGAACTGAATACAACCTATAAAATACTATACTGGACAAAGAAGTGAAGAATAGTACGTGGAAGACGACAGACTCTCGTACGACACACTGCTAAGCGAAGCAGAAGAAGCTCGAGGGAAGAAAAACAGAGACCTGACAACACTATAACAGATAACCAGGTTACTACCTGGTAGGGAAGAGATCAACACAGATGGAATCAATGAAAGATAGTGAACAAAACTTAGTTATCACCTAAGATCAGAAACAAACGAAATGATGGTCTGACCACTTTGAAAAACTCTTGAATCTACCACCACCAACAACGAGGAATCATGCTCCTGTCCACCCAAAGCAAGCAAAATATTAACCCACATCATCGTGGAGAGACTAAACGATGTACTGGATTCAAAATGACGACCAGAACAGACCGACTCACTGACTGACTCACTCACTGACTGACTGACCTACTGGCTGGCTGGCTTGCTTCACGAAAAACAAATCATGTGTGGATCAAATTGCAACACTACACTACTCATCATCACAGAAGAGAGCATAGAATGCCAGTCAACTGGATCTTTACCTCAACTCAACTCAACTCAACTTTCATCCACTTTGAACAGGCCTTCGACGGTGTCGACCGAGAAGTAATTTGGCAGGCAACTGCTTCAACACTACGGCTTTAGTACCACATACCTTTATCAACCTCATTCAACAGCTAGCTATATGCTATGCTGCATGATGAGGCTACATGCCAAGTGATTCTCAGTGGAAAGCTGAGTGATGCTTTTGAAGTGAAGAAGACAGGGGACAGGAGTAAGACAAGGTTGCCGCCTACTATCAACGATGATCTTCATGATTGTGGTCGACTGGACTCGACTGGATCATGCAAGAGACAAGTGTGAGGAGGGAGAAGAGGGTGGGTGATACACTGTCTGCACTGATGAAAAGAGCACAGAAGAAGATTTGGATTTCGTCAGCGATGACGATTTATGTCTAATGTCTTGTGGCACAAACTCGAACATCTACAGACACAATCCAAGAAGTTGAGAGAAGAGGTAGGACAGCGAAGACGGGACTTCAAGTGAAGGTGGAGAAGACAGAGGTGATGAAGATACCCAACCAACAACAACATCAAGAAGAAGCACCAATCATCGTCAGTGGGAGAAATCTGAAGGAAGTTGTCTCTTTCACCTACCTGTTTAGGCAGCCTCGTTTAAACTACAGGCAGTGGCACAGGCACAGGCACAGATGAAGACATCAAAGGCAGGATCGGAACAGCAAGCGAGCAAGCAAGCAAGACAGGCCTTCCTTCATTAACCTGAAATCAGTGTGGAGATCTATTGTACTCAACTCAACTCAACTCGACTGCACTGCACTTCACTCAGCATAAAGCGTGAACAACATCGAGATTTTCAACACTAATTCAGTCAAGTCAGTGTTTGTGTGTGATGGTTGAGAGACTTGGCGCGTTATGGAAAGCATTTCCAACAAACTACAGACAAACATCACATCTACACCTGCCACCTAGGCTCACTCGATACTGAAGATCAGTTCAGTTCAGATCAGATGGTCAGAATAATAAGAATGGGGAACAAGGAACTCTGGCTGGCTGGCTGGCTGGTTGGTTGGTTGGTAACGAACCAACCAACAACCCATCACCTAACAAATATGCAGAATACAGTGGAGATGGACTATGCTGAGCATGCATTGAGAGGACGATCCGTGGACATCACACCCGGGCCGTCGAGTGGAACGCATGTGGGAAACGACGAGTTGGGCGTCCGAGGCGTGGGTGACATGGCGGAGATAGTGTGAGTTAGGAATGAAAGCTACTGGGTAGTCGTGGAACCAGGTTGGACTGCAAAGGACAGAGTGGAATGACGACGTGTTACTAAATCCCTTTGTTCCACTAGGATTCCAAGAAACATATAATGACTATTATAACTATGTTCCGATTGTTTGTCTCACACAACTTTGTCTACTTTAACATCACTCTTTATCTCTCCACCTATTCTTTGTGTACTTCTAAGTGTAGCAACTTCAACAGATCCACTAGTGCCCGAGGTTCAACGTTGACTTCGTCATTGTTAGTGAATCGGAAGAGTGAAAAAATAAAAGTTATTTATTTATTTAGAAACACTGAAAATAGCGGAGGCACGAGTGATTGATTTTTAGCCGTATCATTGAGAATCTAGAACTACTGGATCCCAATATCACGAAACATTAGCCACAGAACCCATAATGCTGTAAAAAATTCAGAACTGCAGTTAGATGGATCAGAAATTGATACCAATGACTGGATCTGACCACTCTCAACTTTCTTACAACATAATACTACTTCGGTACTAGGGTAAACAGTGGCTAAGAATGTGTATCTTGTGTTTTGAGCACTTAAAATACTGTAAATTCATGGCTTCACCAAGTGTCACACCTAGCTTAGCGATAACAGTAAATCTCAGTTAAACACACTGATCACTTTGTGATTCTACCTCATTTGAGAAGTGCTACGAAGATACATTTCACTTTCATAACCTCAGAGTATGAACTAAACGAATGGTTGTGCAACATACTCCACCTTCCACAGACAATCGGTTAACTCTCCAGTGTTATATATAGTGAAATTTGGAGGGAACTACTTACACTTTTTATCAAACCCATATACAGATTTCTTTAGGACGTAGTTCATCAAGATTAATGCAACTAAATCAAACAAATGAAGTAGTAAGTAAGCACAAATACTTCACTCTCTAAAGGAATGGATTTTTCCACAAATAACTTGGCATTACAACTCATGAAGTGATTGATATAACTATTGAATTTTAAATCATAACACATGGAAAGTGAATGAATTATAATGCTGAAAGTGTCATATTATTGTACCGACTTTAACGACTCACATTTTGAGACAATTAATAGGTCAACAAAAAGGTCACAGGGTGCAAACAAATAAATTTCGAATTATACAGATTTAATTTTCAGAGTTACAAAAGTAAGTAAGTGGGGTATATCTGAGTTCAATCATCAACTTTGAGCTTTTATTAATTTCAATCGAATCTAAAGCTTACAATCCTTCTTATTCGTGACAAACAAGGTAAGTTGACATAATGTCCGAAGAAAAAAAACGAAGAAACGCTTCACACTTATTTCGATTACAGTTGCTTATAGAGTATTTTCCCCACAGTCTTTCATGTGATATAAGAAAAAAGCAAAAGCTTCAACCATACACTTAGAAATGAAATGCAGATATCTAACTACTTTATAGTTTATAGAAATGCAGTAGTTTTGTATATAATAAATTCCTAAAAGATAAATAAAACTTGCTTGTTTTGAATAGTTTCGAAAAGTGAATTGTGGACCCATCCAGACACGACGTAAAGGTCCTAAGTGTGTAGTGATTTCAACTTGACTGTACCAATAAGAAGCAACATCTTCAGCAGTCCATCCAGCTGGAGTCACAACTCTATTATCATCCCCTTCGATTGTGCTTGTTTGAACTTTTAATAAGCCTGTTTTACGATTGCTATTATCAATATTCTGGAGTGAGACGGGCTTCAATGGTGATACAGGCTTCTCGTGATGCACCAATGATGCTGGCGAAGGACTGTTGGTATAAGGTTCACATCGAATTTCAGTTGGATCACCTATCAAGAAGAAATTAAGGTAATAATAAAAGCAAAAGAAAATTAGCTACTACTACTACTCAGTGAGGTCAAGCTGGCACGATTAATTTGAAAATAGTGCGTTGATGTATGAGTTCGCACAGCATTTCATTAGTCACACCTATCATATTACGGTTAATAGTACAAACCTAACGGAAAGAAATCCACATTTATGACGCGATTGGTTCACTGTTGAGCACTTAGAATGATAAGTCACAGCTCTCTATAATTATGAATGACCAAAACATTAAAGACAATATACTTCCCACTAAGGTTGAAGCACATTTACTGGAGTTAGAAACATGTGAGCACTTCTAATAAACCTGTCCCCACGATGATGATTTTTAGGAGTTGTCAGTGATATTAGCCAAGTTGTAAGATTGAACTAAGCGACATATAATCAGCGGGTATATAGTCAAAACGAAAAGCCCTGCAAAAAAAAATGTTTTCAAACTTTTAAACATCAGAAAACATAAAGTTTCTTGATAAATAAGTAATCCACCATTCTTTGTTGCTTGCAATTTCTCGTTGCTATACAGGATCGAATTGCTCGACCTCTGTTGGCAGATGAGCTATTATGCGGATGCCTCGACACTGCCGGATACTCATTATGCTACATCGATCTTGGTGACTAGCTTTGGAATCCTATTTCAAGTCTCAGTGGGAAAAACATCACTCACTGGGGTGCATTAAACATGGACCAGTATCAAAGATGGTGGTTGAAAATTGTATTTCCTTTGCTTTCACTGGCGTCGCTACTCTGAATATTCTCTCCCACTTTTTCTCCTCTTTGGTTTCTAACTCCATTTTAATATTTTCTGTGAACAAATCTTAGGCAAGGAAGTCAAGTCAGTCGATGTTGAGAACCTTAACCAAATTAGTTTGCATGAATATCAGATACATATACCGAGACACCGTCTTCCTCGACACATAATGTTAGCCAAGGTAGAATTAGTTTGAAACGAGACTCACAGTGACTAAACCAAGACTTCACACTTGTTCAGAAAATCTCTGACTGTTCACATGTGCTGTATGAGTGGATGTGTGGGTGCAGACTGTCTAGTTGGGAGTTCCTCATGATAATAGCAACTAACGTTTGCTGACTATCAGTGGCATGGATGAAAATTGGTCACAATGGTGCAGATGTATTCACTCCTTGACATCTTCGAATGCTTGGGTATTTTCGCTAACTGTCATCTTCAAATTATTCCTCCCCCTCCTTCCCCCCCCATACACCTTTGTCAACTTTGAAACCAGTTTTTTTCTCCATTTGTTATTTGCATTCTGCTGTGAAATGTGGCAACATGGATCGGTGCACTTTTGTGTGAGTTTCTACTTTGATTTTGTCTGTCATTTATATTTTACCAAGTCTGCAGTTGAAAAATATCTAAATGCATATCAGCTTATCTAATCTTTGATTTATAACATAAAGTGAACCCCAGTCACAGCTTTGTTTCGCAGAATGGCCCAAACCAACAAACAGCAGCTTCATTAGTATATGTCTTCGTCTAGATGCGATATCAAGAGGTTTAAACTGTTCGATGGTTCCGAAGACAATACATAAACTGCAATAAAACTGGGCAGCAAATCTTGATGAACTATGTGGGATTCAAGCATGATGAACTCTGATTGGCATCATTCATTAGCGGTCCCGACCATCAAAGAGGAAATTATCTTGTAACAAATGTGTAAGAATTAAATTGATCTACGTTTCACAATTATCTGGTGCCCAACTGTAAATTTGAGAAAACTAAGTTTTAAATCTATATGTGGATGCGCATCCATCAGACCTTCCTATTCTATTAGATTCTGATGTACAGGCTTGCTTACCAGTGCCTGACACTCGCTGTATTTCTTGATCTGAAGGCGGCATTTTACCTCATCGATTGATAAGTCTCTTAAAGAAACCATTTGTCACTGACAGAGAAGTAAACCGTAGTAATATAAAGGTTCTCTACTCACTCTTGGTCGTCTTAGAGCCAATGATGAGCCATATCTTCAAGCGTATACATCAAAAAATTCCACATCTTGTAACTATCTTCGTAAAGCTAATCAATCAGAACTCTTTTTCTCAGAGTGGGAAGATAACATCTCTAAAAATTTCAGTCACCAGAAGAAAATACTGCAAACTTCAAGTGGTTACACCCCGAAAACTAATGTTTTCTTGAAGTAACTATGAAAGGAAAATATTTTTGCGTCATACTATTACTTCCCGAACTACTGCAAACAGCGACAACAACAAAGAAGCAAATCATACAAATTAATTAGTCGAAGTAGAGGTCAACAATACTCAAAACCAGACCATACGGTTATCAATCAATCTAGTTTCGAGTATATCAATAACAAAATGAAACAACAACCAATTTAAAATAAATCGCAGTATTACTTGAAATAGTAGGACTGCGATCACATTTTGACTTGTTCACTTTGCATCTTGATTGTAGTGTAGATGACGCTAAAATGAGTGGATGTTGTTTAGGAAATGGAGGCAAGTAAACAGCATCTGTATGTAAATTCCATTCACCTACAGGAACACAATCAAGACGAATTGAACCATCCTAAAGAAATAGAAAGACAGATGGTATATTTGATGGAAAGACTATCTTCATTAAACAACAATAACAACAAGTAATAAACATCAGAAAACGAACTTCTCGATATTCTTTCAAACTTGTAATTTGCCGTTGTTATGCAGGGTCAATATGCTTCAGTTTCAGTGGAAACAACATCACCAACTGGGAGACAGGTATATTTAGCTGATAAGTTCGAGATAGGAGGAAACATGCGTCCTAGATTCTACAGCTAGTCACCGAGACAAATACAATATCACGAATATCCAACAGCATCGAACCATCCACACGAGAGTCAATCTGCCGACAGAGATCAAGCTATTCGACCCTATGTAACAACGGGACATTACAAGTATCAAATAAAAACTGATACCCGCTGCATAAATGATGGTTTTCGTATCCCAGTAGATAACGCTTTGGAGTTTAAAGCGATAGGTATTGGGTTCGAGTCTCGGTGTGAACAATGACGACCACTGGCGTGCAGGTACACCTATCTGACGAGTCCTAAATGGGACGAAACGCGCGTCCTGGATTTCACTGTTATTTACTACGATGAATAGAAATTTCAGATAAATAATTTACTTATTTAAACATCAACTTTGATAAATAAAAAAAGATTTCTCTACCTGGTACAACTTCCCACCTATCGTAGCTGTATCCGCTGGACTGACACACAGATCATATTCTATCAAGCGCAAATCAGCTGTCAAAATGAACAATGCATCTACAGCACGAGATTTCCCAACTGTAAGTTGAAAACAAAAAGTCAGTAGAATTATGGATATGAATGACAGAAGAGATATAAATAGTATACAGCATTTGTTCATTACTTCATGAAGTAAAAAAAAGGCAAGTTCCTTCAAGACCAACACTTAGTATTGGTTTCATTTGCATAGACAAAAGTAGCCGTGTTTATAGGGAAGAGAGTGAGTCATATACCAAGTATCAGCATGCGTATAAAGTCAAAAAACCTAGTATATTCGAATAAATATAATAGGATAAACTGCGTATCAATAACATAAATGGCAGATAAAATATACTTGTAAAATCTCAAGGTACAAAAATAAATTTCTGACGTTTCGCAACTTCGTGGAAATCGCTTCTTCAGTGATTAAAACCTGTACAAATTATCGACTGTTTAAATAATAAATGCTGATAAATCAGATCACGTTATTCATACATGATAATAATATGGGTATAAATGTCTTTGCTATGTTGGTCAGGAGACGTTCAAGCTTGTCTTTTAGAACAAAAAATATAAGCCAACAGTATTGTTCTCAATTAGATCCTCTAACAAAAAACAATAATGTACGCTTTAACGTCTTGTTCTAATTTACATGATGGGAGTATTTAAAACTCTTCAACTTGTCTTGTTATCCGTTATTAGTCTCACCAACATAACAAAGACATTTATACCCATTTAATTAGCATATGTGAACAACGTAATCTGATTTTTCACCGCTTACTACTTAAACAGTGGATAACTTGTACAGGTTTTCTTTTCTGAAGAAACGATTTCCACGAAGTCGGAAAATGTCAGAAGTCTATTTTTCTTCATCATTGGGATTTAAAAATATGTTTTATCAATAATCCATTTGCCCAACGCTCAACTTATTCAACTTTACGAAGTCAAATTTTGATCCTGAAGTTTATCAATATACATATGGATGGTTGCGATTATTATAACCGAGATATTCAACAGATGGAGACAGAATAGTGAAACCGGTAACGGTAGGAAAATAATGCGAAAGAGTGAATTCGATACAAGCATACAATAAATGTTGAAGAAGGAGCAACAAAGCTTTAGAGTTTCTGATACAATACGTATAGGATCAATAGCATTCAAATAGCAGCAAAATAAAAATATTAGTTAATTAGTGAAATGTTCCCAGACTACTCCCTATTTTTAAAAGGGTATAAGAAAGATTGGTGGATAAGAAAGGTTTGCGTATGAAATTTAGAAAATCCTGAATACGAACTAGTGGTTCTTTGAACTTTAAGAGATAAGAGAAAAAAAACGTACAATCCTCTTGAAGTCATGGATTATTAGACCAACAAATCAACGTAGAGCCTCGCATATAAGCGCATAGACCTAATTTGTCACACATCACAATAACATGCAATTAACAAGTGCATAGAAGAAGAGTGATATCAAAGTAGACAAAGTTGTGAGAGAATAAGTAACGAGAATATAAAGGTTAGTGCAGATGTTCAAGATTTAGAAAACATCAGAGTGAATAAATCTCTGCCATCGCGATCGATTTTCAGTTATGTTAGCAACAGTCTTCAACCACTAATTCCTATCGTCTTAGGGACCTAAGCCAAGGAGTTTACGCCTCCATACATAGCTCAAACGAATGCTACATCTTCGTCCGACCATGGTGAACCCTCTTCCAACCTAATCCAACTTTCTCTAGCATCATAAACGGTTAGACGGGCGCAACATATATCTAAGCTACCTCAGCTAATGAAGGTTCACAACCTCGCCAATCGATTTGCCTGTTTTGCGTAGTACCATTCGCCTTACCTCAATATTGCTCATAAGGCGATTCCATCAAACGCGAGCAATACTACGAAGACATCTGTGATCAAAAACCTGCAACCCACAATCATGAGAATGCATTTAGATGTTGCTTCAGTACTTTTGGATTGGATATAAATTTGAGTGCACAAGTAACACTTACTCAAGACAACCATCTTCTTCTACCTGTTTATTTTTCAGGTCTCTCCCACATGAAAATATAACATTTTTCACAAATAATTTTAAATTATTGCACAAAATTTCCTGACCAGATTAAACGTATCGTATTTCGCTGTTGTGTTTAAAGACGAGATGTTTTAACTTCAGCTTTCTCACGTATTCCAGTTCTATTCATCTACTCTACACTGCTACAAGTTCCAACAAATTTGTGTCTCTTGGGATGCTAAAAATTTGTCTTACCCAGCTGTGCTCTAAGAGGAAATCTGACTCTCTTTTCTGAGGTCAAGCATAATATTGGATCTAATCACTTTCATATTAGACAACAGACAGGTTTATTTCGAATTCTAGAAGGGTCCTCAATATATGTACTTTTTATCATGGAGGTCCATCTGACAAATCCCAGGGAGGTATTTACAATAAGTTTATAATCCGTGAACCTAAAATGTACCTTACATTTCGACTCTTCCTGTAATCCTGTAGCACTGGCGTTCAACACCGATAGTACTGGTATTTCAAAAAATACTACCTCAATGAAATTCTACTGCTAATCATCTGTGATCTTTCAGATGAGTAAAGAAAATTATGTTTTTCGTTATCTGGTCTGATCTGACATAAACCTTAATGCGACAGAAGGTGGATACCACCACTACGCTGGAAGCCTCGTCACAGAAATCAACCATTCAAGTGGCCTATCTGAAGTGCTAAGCAGCGAATTTGGTAGTGAGAACCCTCCACTGATGTAATGAGTGGACCATAACTGTGCCTATTGAGCACCGACTTCTCACACGTTAGTATGTTCGAATAGGGATATTTTCTTGAATTTTGATCCATAATTTCCCTAGACAGTAAAAATCCTCTAGCAGAATGAATTGGTGTTAGCTTAAGTGGCGGCAAGAATACCATAAGGTGAATACCATGTAATGCCACAATTAGAAGCAGTTACCAACCCGTCAAAATTTTTTCCTTAGAAATACAGAAGTATTAATAAGTTCCTTATGAAACGTAATTCAAGGTCTACGTAAGAATTAAAAGGTTTGAAAGCCCAACTGATTTGAAAGCAGCCGGTTGATAACAACCGACACAACAACGAAACCATTTGTAATTAAAACCCGACTACTTTAGAATCAATTACTAGAGTTGATCTCTATACAACTACTTCTCCTTCTTAGAGTCTATGAGATCCTTGAAAAACTTTCTGATCAGGAGCTTGATAGGAACAAAAAGCCTTACTCTTGAAAGAAAGATAATAATTCACTTAATTCCAAACAAAGACACGGTCCTTTCATCTGATAACCAAATGAAGAAATACCGCTGAATAAACTTCAGACCATTTTCCATAAGCAGAACAAACACATTAAATAACCGTAATGCGAAGTATACAACAAGGCCTGATGCGAAAGTCAGTCTTTTCCTGGTCTTAGTAACGAGCGACTAATAGAAAAAACAATAGCGTCTCTTCTTTCATGTCCTCGCATAGTAAACTAGTTAACCAATTAATATTCGGTCCTAAGCCCGCATAAAGAGACAAGATTGGGCATAGGGCTAACAACTCTACCCCGAAAAACCAATCCAATCGCTAAACAAACTTCAAAGCACAAAAAAAAATATCAACAATGAAAACAAACTTATTCCTCGCGGGAATCACAGAGACGGAATGACGACAGTTACTGAAAGCCTTCGGCAAGCCAAGTGGCCGATGCGTCTCCTCTCTCTCGATGAATACAGAAGTAAGCATAGGGACATGAAATGTCCGCACAATGTTTGAAGTTGGCTGACTGACAAAGCTGCTCAGATTGCAAAAGAGATGAGAAGACATAACATAGATGTGCTAAGAATCTGCGAGGAATATGCAGATAGAGTGGAAGGTGGACTCTCAAAACTGTCAACTGGAGAGTCAATGATCTACTCCGATATTGTCACTCAGACGACAACCACGAACGAGCACACTGAGTTGTGGAGTGGCTATCATGATGTCCCCTCCAAGGAGCATAGAAGGCTCTCTCACTCTCTCAAGCAATGGGAACCAATCTCCTCCTGCATGATGAGGATCATGACAAGAAGATGGATTCAACTGAAGAGGAAAGGAAGTCACAAGACTACAGTTCAGGTTCAACACCCAGAACAGAAACTGAACTGAAGGACTAAATTACAAAGGACATTTTCACGTCAGTCAGCCACATGGGAGGAAGGAGACGTTAAGCAACATCTGTGAAGAGACCTTTGTGGAAGAACACTGGAACTCTTTGAAAGCTGTGTGGGAGGAAACCTGCACATCCGTACTAGGAAGCAAGAAGATGCAAGACGAGACAAGGAATGGATCTCGATGGACAAATGGAAACCGACAGAGCAGGGAGAGGAAGATAGTGAGGCAGAAGATGAAACAGTACAGTACAGTGCAGGGATGAACAACGAAAAGAGGAACTGAGTACTTCTTATAAGACACCACACTGGACAAAGAAGTGAAGAGGAGTGTACGGAAAGACAAAAGACACTTCTACGACACATTGGCGAGTGAAGCAGAACAGGTTGCGGTAAGAGAGACAGAGAACTGACAACATTATATCAAATAACCAGGTTACTGTCTATCTGGAACAGGACAACACAGATGAAGGTAATGAAAGATAGTGAAGGAAACCTAGTTACCAAAGAGGAGAAACAATAGAAACAATGACCCGGCCACTTCAAAAAACTCTTGAATCGACAACCACCACCACCTGCAAATCGGCCAGAAATAACACCACCAGCCCAACCACACAAGTATCAGTCAACGCAAGCCCTCTGAGAAGAGCAGAAGTGAAGTCCTGAACGCCATACCATGAAGTTGCTGAAATCCGCCAAACCAACAGGATGAGATGGAATTCCTCCAGAAGCACTGGAAACAGACGCAGAGACATCAACAACAGACATGTTCATACCACACCACTATTCCAGACGGTTTGCAAGCAAGGAGGGTGGGAATGGAGGAAAGGTACCTACCTGTCGATTGATTGGAAGAAGAGCTACCTTGTTAAACTCCAGAAGAAGGGTGGGCGACCTGAGCCTTT